CTAAGTACCAAAAACTCATAACTAATACCATTAACCCATTGTGAGGCTTGAACCAAGTCCAATGGACCAAAGTACACTTGAGTGACCAATCAAACACACAAAAATATATCAAACACAAAATTTGGCCAGCCAATGGCCATTTCACCTAATATGGCCAAAACACACAATCAACACTACATGCATTATTTGCCTTCTATTGCCACATAATACATTACAATTACATTGTCACCACATATAAAAACATTCCTTGCACTTGTATTAGCATTTTAGCCCATCACCACAAAAATTGCCACATATTCACCTCATATACAATGTTGGGCTAAAATACATAACAACATAGTATGAAATAAGTACAACTAATCAAAATGATATGCATTTCTAGTTGGCAACATATAATATCATATAACAAGTTTATGTACACTACTCAAACCAAAATCGGGCATTACTATTCGATGTAGCAAATCTACAAATCCTTGCCCGATTCCTTCCCTCGCTCAATCTCAACTATAGAATCTGTAAAATGTAACCATGGGGTGAGATAAAAATCTCAGTAACTAAGATAATATATATTATTGATTAACGAGCCAAGTTATAAACAAGCATTAAAATAAGGAACATAATCTCATCATATAAGATCACCATAAATTGCATGCATAATCCCTAACCATTCGGTCCTCTAATACTTCTGACCGAACTAGTAGGCTATTTCACAGAACCAAATCACATGTATGGTCCCCAAGCTCACCATCCATGGTAGGACTACCGGGCCAAGGTGTCCTAAACCACTTATGAACTACTGTTTCCCCTTATTACAAGTAATTAGGGTGTCATTACTCCAACACCGCATCCTACGGATGTTAAGGAGCATAGTCTCTAACTCCGCACCCTTTTGGGTACTAAAGAGAGTAAGTCTTCAACACCGCACCTATTTTCAAGAACTAAGGAGAGTAAATGCTGCACCTGGCGTCCCAAGGTGCCAGCAATGCAAATAGACTTAATCTTTACTATCTCCACTAGGGTGACCTCCCACTCTTTAATATGCCACATTTCACTACATATCTCTACTTGACCATGCATAAATAACTTTCCAAACCAATATAACAAATCTTATCATTTACTTTAAAAATATAGAATTTCACAAACCAATACTCTACTCATTTTCTAAAATAGTTAACCTTTAAAGAATTTATACATATATACTCAACAAATCATAAAAAAGCACTTGAGAATAACTTATACAAGGTAATAAATAATTTTGTTACCTCAACCATTTTGTTACTAAAAGGGTTACCCGTGGTAGTAAATTTCTTCTTGTGTCAAGGTAAATCTTCCCACACCACAATCTACAACAATAAGTACTATATGTTAATTTTCAATTAACACAAGCACTATTAACTACCAATAACCTCCCAATTCTTCCACTTCTCACTCATATTCTCAATAAAGAAGGTTGTTAAGATTAGAATTTGTCCATACCATCACTTTAAGTATCTTTCTAACTTTATCACAACATAAAACTTAATAACTCAACTTATCACATTTCAACACCCTATGATCAAGTTAGGGCTTGATTTAAAATTCACCTAACAAGAAAGTAGCTTCCTATTGCACATATCCAATATCAATAAACCTAAATTAAACCTTTAGAGTCAATAGAAACCTTCAAAACATTGACTCATGGCTTAATCCAATCAGAACATATTCTCACTCTTTCAAATACCATGGAAAATGAGATGAAAAGGTAGAGGAGAAGGGTAGGAAACTTACCCAAGAGTTTGGAGACTCAAATTATCTTCAAAATCCTTCCAAATTGATGCCCTAACAGTGCCCAAAGTTGCCCCCTTTGTGCTTTATGTTTTCCACCCCAAAATCTGTCAATTTCTAATCATTTCTAAAATTTTAAGTTGCCTGTTGTGCCGTGCGCCGCAGCGCATGCCACGCAAGCCACGGCTCACGACGCAGTGAGAAACAAGTTGATTTTACTCCCCTCAATGCCTCCTGACTTGATCCGACTTTCATCCTATCTCAATTTAGAGCTAAATATGACCTAAAAATCCAATTAGCCACCCAAAAACATAATTAAATAAATTAATCATATTTTTAACTAATTTATTCCTTAATTAATTAACTTTTCTAGATTTGAAGTTTTGAGATGTTACAGTTCTCCCCTCCTTTAAAGGAATTTTGCCCTTAAAATTCAAGAACAATGACAACACATACCTAGGGAAACAGATAAGGATATTGCTGTTTCATTTTGTCCTCTGTCTCCCAGGTAGCATCAGCAGGAGCCATTCTTTTCCATACCACCTTAACTAGTTGAATAGTCATGTTCCGCAATTGCTTATCTTTAACATCTACTATTCGTTCTGGCTTTACTCGATAAGTCATATTCTCTTGCAGATCTACCTCTTTGGGTTCAATCACATGAGATGGATCATCAGTTGAGAAACATGAAAAACATCATGAATCCCAAATAATTGTGGTGGTAAGGCGATTTGGTAGGCAACTAGCTTAACTTTCCTGAGGATCTCAAATGGACCCATGAATCAAGGAGATAATTTCTTTGCTCTAATTGACCTCCTAATTCCCGTCATAAGTGAAACTCTTAGAAAAACATGGTCACCAACCATAAACTCCAACGGCCTTCGTCGTTTATCCATATAACTCTTCTGCCTACTCTGAGCCGTTAGAAGTTTCTGCCTTATCATTTGAATCTTTTGTGTCGTTTGATCCACAATATCAGGACTATAATGCTTCTCTTACTCAATTCAACCCAACAAAGAGGAGATCAACATTTTCTTCTATATAGTGCCTCATAGAGAGCCATCCCTATACTAGAGTGAAAACTATTATTGTAGGCAAACTCCGCCAAAGGAAGATGGTTATCCCAATTGCCTCTCAGTTCCAAGGTACAAGCTCTCAACATGTCCTCTAGAGTCTGTATAGTCCTTTCTGTCTGTCCATCAGTCTATAGATGATACGTTGTGCTGAATCTTAATTCAGTACCCATTACTCTCTACAATGCTTTCCAAAAGTTTGAGGTGAACCTCAGGTCACGATCAAAGACAATGTCCTTTGATACCCCATGCAATCTCACAACTTCCCGAATGTAGATCTCTACCAACTTCTCTAATGAATCACTTATTCGCACTACCAAGAAATGGGCTGACTTTGTCAACCTATCTACAATCACCTAGATAGAATCATAACTGGATTGGGTTCTTAGTAATCCTGAAATAAAATCTATAAATATACTATCCCACTTTTACTTCGGTATCTCTAGTGGTTGTAAAGTTCCTGCTAATCTTTGATGCTCGATTTTAACCTTTTGACAAATTAAACATCAAAGCATAAAATCTATAACATCCCTTTTCATTCCAGGCCACCACCAATACCGCTTCATATCCTGATACATCTTAGTTGCTCCAAGGTGAATTGTATATCTACTCTTATATGCCTCATTCAGAATTTTCTTTCTTAAATTACCCTCATCTGGTACACAAACCTGATCTCGATATATAACATATCCATCATCACTGAAACCAAAGTCTGTGGTTTGCCTTTCCTCTATATCTTCTCAAATTTTCAATAGATACTCACCCTCAAGCTGTGCTGTCCTTAACTCTCTCCAAAACTCATTGGTAATCTCTGTAGAATGTAGGCTACACAAAGTAAATTTCGGTGAGTCATGCTGAATATCCAAGTAGGATTCCAGAAATTTGTGCTCTTGCACCATTAGGTAAGCAACATGCAATGACTTTTGACTTAAAGCATCTGCAACCACATTTGCTTTCCCGAGGTGGTATTTAATTTTGAAGCTATAGTCCTTTAAGAACTCCATCCACCTTCTCTGCCTCATATTAAGTTCCTTCTGATCCACTAAATATTTCAGGCTCTTATAGTCATTGAAAACACTGAACACTGCTCCATACAAATAATGCCGCTAAATCTTTAGTGCAAACACAACTGCAGCAAGCTCTAAGTTATAGGTAGGATAATTTTCTTCATGTGGGCTGAGCTGTCTAGAGGCATAAGCCACTACTCGCTCATCTTGCATCAACACACATCCCAGACGTTTTAGATATGCATCTATATACACTTCATATAGCAATCATGGATTAAGAATAATCAATACCGGTGCCATAATCAGTTTCTCCTTTAACTTTTGAAATGCAATCTCACACTTGTCATCCCAAATGAATGGTTGATCTTTTTGGGTCAACCTAGTCAATGATGAAGCTATCTGAGAGAAACCCTAGATAAATCTACGATAACATCCAGCCAATCCCAGAAAACTTTATATTTCAATCACAGAACTAGGTCTTTCCCATTTCAAAACCGCATCCACTTTATGCAGATCCACTGCAATCCCTTCTGCTGACACAACATGTCCTAGAAATTAAACCTCTTATAGGCAGAACTCACACTTGTTAAGCTTAGCATAGAGCTTGTTGTCCTTCAAAATTTGTAGCACAATTCTCAAATACTTCACATCCTGCTCCTCATTTTCAGAATATATCAAAATGTCATCAATAAATACCACTACAAACTGATCCAGTAAGGCCTAAATATACAGTTCATATAGTCTATGAAAACCGCAAGTGCATTTGTTAACCCAAATGGCATAACCAGGAACTCATAATGCCCATATTTGGTACGGAAAGCTGTCTTGGGCACATCCTCCAAGCACAATCTTAATTGATGGTATACTGACCAGGGTAAAGGATATTTGTTCTTCACCGTTACCTTATTCAATTGTCTATAATCAATACAGAGCCATAAGCTACCGTCCTTCTTCTTAACAAATAGTACAGGTGATCCCCAAGGTGACACAATAGGTCTAATAAATTCCTTTTCAAGTAACTCCTCTATTTGCTTCTTCAACTCAACTAACTCCATTAGTGACATTCGATATGGTGCCTTTAAGATTGGTTCAGTTCCTGATACTAGGTCTATTATGAATTCCACTTCCCTTTCTAGAGGTAAACTGGACATATTATTCATAAATGCCTCAGGAATTCATTCACTATCCTAATCTTATTAATACTTCCATCGTAGACCCCATGCACTGAGAAGAAAACCATATAAGCCATACAACCTTGTTGCATCACTGCTTGCACCACTGATAAGAGCTCAGACTCACTAGGAATATTAGCCGATGTAGTATGTACTGGTAATAAAACTATCTTCCTAGCACAGTCCAAGGTGGCATTATTTGCCATCAACCAATCTATACCGATTATCACGTCCAAACCCTTCATAGGAATCCAGATCAAATCTAAAGTAGTTGAATGATTTTCAAACTTCACTTCTATATTCAAACATGCTTTACTAGCCATATTAGATGACCTAGATGGTGTAGACACTTTAATCACATAAGGCAATTCATGCAAAGGAAGTCCTAACCTCTCTATATATTCATATGAAATAAACGAATCTGTAGCATCAGAATCAAATAATGCTTCAATTTTTTGCTTGCAGATAGAAATAATACCTTTTTATCAAATTCAGCGATGCTCTTGCCTCCTCCTGAGATAGTATGTAGACTCGTCCTGGAATGGTAGATCTCTGCTCTGCCATCTTCACTCTTCCCTCGGGGCATTGTCTTACTAGATGGCCAGGTTTCCCACATTTAAAACATGCCTAGCACCTCCCAGGATGTGACCGCCCACACTTAGCACACGGTGGTGGTTGAGCTATACTCAAGGTCGGGCCAGGCATATTAGAAGCCTGTTAGGATGGTTGTGGAGCACCAGAACTCCTAAATCCACCCCTCTGAAATGTTCCCCGAGTCTGTGATCCTCTAACAAAACTCTTCTTTCCTGGTGTCGTAGAACTACTCGGGCCATAACCTATTTTCTTAAAGACTCCTCTAGAAGGGCCTAGGGAGGACGAGAACCTCCCATGGCTATCTCGTCTCTTTTTTACTTCTACTTCCCGACCCCTTCTTGCTATAATTCAGAGTCAATTACATATGTCAGTATATGTGGTTACTCCTAACAGAGCAATTTGTTGTCTATATTTAGCCTCATCTTTTCCAAAAGCCTCTTGGCCTTCCACTCACTATCATTGGTCTCATTTAGATAAGTAGAAAATTTTAATAGCTAATTAAACTTTTGAATGAATGCTTCCTCGTCAAGATCTCCCTGTCGAAATGCATGGAACTCGACCTCTTTCTCATCTCTGAATGCTGAAGGAAAATGATGATCAAAGAACATTTCCTTGAATTGTTCCCATGTTAGCTGACGTCCATTCATTAGTCTTGCAGAATTCCACCAGTGTTTAGCATCCTCAACTAGATACATCGTGGCTATAATCACCTTCTGTTCCGTAAAGCATGGCACCACCTCAAAGATGGTTTCAACTCTCTCTATCTATTTCTTCACTTCTCCTTCCTTTATAGTTCCATTAAAGGTTAGAGGGTTAAACCGAGAGAAAGTCCTCCATGCTTGATCAATAGCCATCCTTTGAACATCTCCATCCACTTTCGTCCCAGACGATCTAGGTCTACTACTGAAACTATAAGATGGTTTCAATATGCTCTCATGAGCTTCCTCTTGTCTCCTTTGTTCCTCCTCACGACCTCTATTCCGAAGCAGAACATTGTGGTTGTGAACGGTTCTTTGGATACTCCTCATCATATCCCGCAATTCTTCAAGAATTGCATCATTACCCTAGGGCCTTTGTTCTTCTTCTTCTTCTTGTGTCTCTAGTTGTACCTCTGGTATAGGCCCATCATTCTTCGGTAGATTACCAGCATTTCAGATGCTTCTTCTAACCATTTTTCTCCCCTCCTAAGGAAGAAATCAAGTAGAAAAGGGAAATTAGTGGGAAATAAAGGAAATGAGATAAAGGGAAAGTGTTGTGTACATAAAGTTGTTAACTAATGAGAATGAATGCAATAGACACATCACCACAACCAGATCTCATAACCTGAGAAACTAATACCAAAATGTAATGTCCACCTTGACATTACCAAAAATTTACCACAGAATCACAATAAACAATCATAATTAGGAGCAAGGATTGCTCCTGAGCTCACATTATCCATATAAGGATTAAAACTAATAATATTTTAAAAATAATTGTGGAATATTTGGGATCCCATAAAAACCCTTCAAATTGGTAGTTTGAGCTCAAACTTAATGGTTTATATAGGGATTGGAAGCATGGAAAAGTTTTGGGAAGCAAAATACTTCAAAACAGGGCCAAAAATGTCATTTTTGAGTGTTTTGGTCCATGCGCCGCAGCTCCTGGTCCATGCGCCATGGCATGTGGCACAAAATGCCAAATTTTCTCACTGTACGATACACCACGGCTTGCGCAAAATGCACCGCGGTGCACTTGTCCATGACAGCAATGCTGTCATGATAGCTTTTTGGACGAACTTTGAATGTGCGCCATTTTTATATCCGATATCCAATTGGAGTGATTCAAGAGCCCACGCGAAGCTTATTCAATAAGCTAACTAATGGTACAAGTTTCATTATGACTCGACATCATATGAGAATTTTAGATACTCAGATGCAAAAGTCAGTTTTTAAAGAGATTTTCAATCATCCAAGTACCCAAAACTCATAACGAATACCACTAACCCATTGTGATACTTGAACCAAGTCCAATAGAACAAAACACTTGAGTGACCAATCAAATACACAAAAACATATCAAGTACAAAATTTGACCAGTCAATGGCCATTTCACCCAATATGGCCAAAACACACAATCAATACTACATGCACTATTTGACTTCTATTGCCACATAATACATTACAATTACATTGTCACCACATATAAAAACATTCCTTGCACTTGTATTAGCATTTTAGCCCATCACCACAAAAATTGCCACATATTCACCTCATATACAATGTTAGGCTAAAATACACAACAACATAGTATGAAATAAGTACAACTAATCAAAATGATATGCATTCTTAGTTGGCAACATATAATATCATATAACAAGTTTATGTATACTACTCAAACCAAAATCGGGCATTACTATTTGATGTAGCAAATCTACAAATCCTTGCCCGATTCCTTCCCTCACTCAATCTCAGCTGTAGAACCTGTAAAATGTAACCACGGGGTGAGATAAAAATCTCAGTAACTAAGATAATCTACATTATTGATTAACAAGCCAAGTTATAAACAAGCATTAAAATAAGTAACATAATCACATCATATAAGATCACCACAAATTGCATGCATGATCCCTAACCATCCGGTCCTCCAATACTTTTGACCGAACTAGTAGCCTATTTCACAGAATCAACCCACATGTATGGTCCCCAAGCTCACCATCCATGGTAGGACTACCCAGCCAAGGTGTCCTAAACCACTTCTGGACTATTGTTTCCCCCTATTACAAGTAATTGGGGTGTTGTTACTCCAACACCACATCCTACGGATGTTAAGGAGCATAGTCTCTAACTCCATACCCTTTTGGATACTAAGGAGAGTAAGTCTCCAACACCGCATCCATTTTCAGGTACTAAGGAGAGTATAGACTTAATCTTCACTATCTCCACTAGGGTGACCTCCTACCCTCTAATATGCCACATTTCACTACATATCTCCACTTGACCATGCATAAACAACTTTCCAAACTAATATAACAAATCTTACCATTTACTTCAAAAATATAGAATTTCACAAACTAATACTCCACTCATTTTCTAAAATAGTTAACCTTTAAAGAATTTATACATATATACTCAACAAATCATAGAAAAGTACTTGAGAATAACTTATATAAGGCAATAAATAATGCAAATTATCTAGTTACCTTAACCCTTTTGTTACTAAAAGGGTTACCCGTGGTATTAAATTTCTTCTTGTGTCAAGGAAAGTCTTCCCACACTACAATCTACAACAACAAGTACTATATGTTAATTTTCAATTAACACAAGCACTATTAACTACCAATAACCTCCTAATTCTCCCACTTCTCACTCATATTCTCAACAGAGAGGCTTGTTAAGATTAGAATTTGTTCATACCATCACTTTAAGTCTCTTTCCAACTCCATCACAACATAAAACTTAATATCTCAACTTATCACACTTCGACACCCTATGATCAAGTTAAGGCTTGATCTAAAATTCACCTAGCAAGAAAGTATCTTCCTATTACCACATATCTAAGATCAATAAACCTAAATTAAACCTTTAGAGTCAATAGAAACCTTCAAAACATTGACTCATGGCTTAATCCAATTAGACTAAATTCTCACTCTTCCAAATCCCATGGAAAATGAGATGAAAAGGTAGAAGAGAAGGGTAGGAAACTTACCCAAGAGTTTAGAGACTCAAATTATCTTTAAAATCCTTCCAAATTGATGCCCTAACAGTGCCCAAAGTTGCCCCCTTCGTGCTTTAGGTTTTCTACCCCAAAATCTGTCAATTTTTGATCATTTCTGAAATTTTAAGTTGCCTGTTGTGCCGTGCGCCACAGCGCACACCATGCAAGTCGTGGCTCACAACACAGTGAGCAACAAGTTGATTTTGCTCCCCCCGATACCTCCCAACTTGATCCGACTTTCATCCTATCTCAATTTAGAGCCAAATATGACCCAAAAATCTAATTAGCCACCCAATAACATAATTAAATAAATTAATCTTATTTTTAACTAATTTATTCCTTAATTAATCAACTTTTCTAGATTTGAAGTTTTAGGATGTTACATATGCCACGTGTCAATCTTTGCTGGTGGACTAATAAAAGGGCAAAAATATCTATAAAGTCATTAGCCAAGAGTAAAAATACTTATGAAGTCATAGGCCAGGAGCAAAAATACCCATAACGTTACTAGTGGTGGTGCAAAAGTGGTCAATCTATCCAATCCCTTAAATGTTTACCATTTAACTGACATATAAGTAAAAGTTGACCATTTTTCACTGATGTAGGTAAAAAATATTCCTAAATAAAATTGTTTAGAGGTTAATCGATCATTCTATAAATACCTTGTGAAAAAAATATCATTTTGACTAAATAACAAATTAAATTACTTGTTTCTTTATAGTATTGGTGAATCATTTGAAAATTTTAAACCTATCATGAATGCAATTGTTTAAGGTTATGATAATATTCTTAAGCTAGATATGCTTAGTCTTGATCTTTGATTTTGTATAACCTATCTTACTCTGTTAAATCTCAAATTTTATAGGACAAGAAAAATGAATGGAGAGGGAGAAAGGAAGGGGATGAGATACGTGGTGATAGAAAGAAACCATATAGTATTGAGTTTGATAGATTAGTCAGTATTACATCCATTAAAGTAACATTGTAAGTGCTCATACAATGATCAATCAACATCCGTAAAAATTCATCTAGGAATATTTTTGTCTATATCAATGAAAAAATAATCACCTTCTACTTAAATGTCAACTAAACGGTCAACACTTAAAGGATTGGATGAATTGATCACTTTTGCACCAACTCCGATAATGTTATAGGTATTTTTATTTCTATCCTACTACTTTGTGGGTCTTTTTTCTCCTGGTCGATGACTTTGTAGGTATTTTTGCCCCTTTATTAGTCCATGTCAGCAAAGACTGACATGTGGCATTCATAGTC